TGCTGGCTTCTTATGTTAGCATCAGTAATGGCACTTGTAACTTCTCCTTATTCAACTCCTAACTTTCATCTCGATGCTGAGAGATGCTCATTGTCATTGGGAAGAGAGGACTTCTCACAGAGTTGGCAAATGGAAACCCTGACATCTTTGCCTATCATCTTTCTGAAATGACATTATTTGGAATGTTAAATGCTTGTTTTCTTTTCAAAATTATACTGTATTTTTAGTGTGTGTGTGTGTGTGTGTGTGTGTGTGTGTGTGTGTCTGTGTGTGTGTAGTCAGTTTTCACCTGCTGTGTGAATTCCCTGGAAATCAAGCTAAGGATATGAGTCTCTGTGTCGAGTGCCTTTACTTGTTGAGACTAAGTCAACACCTAGCACAAGATGTTGGAATTTTTAGTTCTTTCAACAAATATTAATTCATCCCCTGCCATGTATTGATTCCTACATCAGTCTTAAAGCTTGGAATCAGCAGCAGATATACTGAACTTCTGTTAGAAAACATAACTATTTAATATTATTTAAAACCATTTAAAGCATTCCTCTTAATATTATTAAGGAAGTAGGTGAAATGTACATGCTAAATAATAGGTAAAATATACCATAGACCTATTTCTTTTATCACTAGGTATTATCTGAGAATTTAACAGTAGTGCTAGATAGAATCTCCCATATTTCGTTCCTATTCTGACAACTGAAGGTCATGTTTTGTTTTCTTGTTGATGCTGCAGCAGTGACAGCAGCAATATGCTGCATCTTCCTTTAAAGATAAACAGAAATTCTCTCACTAGAACTCTGCCAGGATTTCCAGAATCCCTCTTTGTTCACACATTCCCTTGGGGAATTACTTGGTCATGAAAGTATCTCACTTGGCCTGTGACTAAGAAAGGATTTTTATCAAGCACTGAGTCATAGTGAATCAAGTTATGACAATTGCTGGAAAAGGCTTAAACCTTTCATTGCTTCTTCCTACATTCTCTTTCCTTTTACCTTGGGGGGAAAAATCTTCAAACCAAGTAAGCATAGTGAGGAAGGAACCTTGTGCACCTCAGTCATGATTATTCCCATCTACTTATGTCCAGAAAAATGCAAAAACGTTTCATCTAAGGAACTAAAGGAGGCTCTCCCCTCCCCCTTCCATTTAGAAGGGGACATTTCGATGTATTTCTGGATCTTTAACTCCATTTAAAGCAAGTGTAGAGGCATTAGTGTAAACTGGTTTGATACTTGAATAGTGTTTCTAACATATGTTAACCAAGTATCAATTATGATCACAAGTAGAATAAAACTTCACTAAAATAAGTTATTAATAAGAATAGGGTGGCTCATAGCTAGATATTTGCTAAATTTCATATTTGTGTAATAATATTTTACTCTAGTTTTTTTATAGGCCACGCCAGATTTTCTTTCATATGTACAAAAACTCTATTGTGTTAGAGGAAACATACATTGTTTAGTACATCTTTCGCCTCTTGGTTGTACTTCTCAAAAATAACTTCTGTCCAACTAAAATGCTCATATTTTAGTTTACAAAGATGTTCTCAGCTTCTTGGATTCTTTTCCTTTGCTGTGATAAAATGTCCTCACAAAAGCAACTTAAGTTAAAGGGGGTTTATTTTCCTTCACAGTACAAAGGTACAGTCTATAATGGCAGGGAGATTAAGGCATAAGAGCTTGAAGCAGCTGGTTGCATCACACCCACAAATAGGAGGAAGAGAAATAAAGCTCATTTGATCCTTTATGGTCAGGCAAGGATCTGACCCACTTGTAGACTAGATCTACTCATTATCTTCATAGAATAATCCCCACAGACATGCTCAATGGCTAAATAATCACTCAGGGGTGTTGTGAGGGGTTGATATCTTATATTCCAGATACTGTCAAGTAGACAGTTAACACTCTGTACATTGCGAAAGTGTTGGAATGTTGGCCTCAAGAAACTTCAGGCAATCCTAGGTTTGTAATACAATAAACTTGGTCTTGAGAGATGGGCACATTTGGTAAAAGAAACTTAGTCCAAACATAGACTGGACCACTGATGCAATCATTCTATGGATGAGGCAAGTCAATTTTTCTGAGTAGTTGTTTTTCAGATTGATCTCTGGTTCCTCAGGAGCCAAGTGTTTTTAGTTCTGGTTGGAAACTAAAGACAATGGAAATAGCCTGTGATTTTGGGGGAGTTTGGGTATGGGTCAAGGGTGAGGTTCTCTGGGGTATCTCTGATTAATAGCTCATAGTGAAAGATTTCATTCCTGGCACAGAGATTTTAATAGCCTGTGTCTTACATGGAAGCATTTTTCACCCATGTAGTAGTTCAAATACCATTTTTAAAAATTGTATATTTTTGATTAAGTTTCAAAGCAGTGGGCTCCCATATTGGTTTTTCATACATTCTTAGTTTTATTTTACTCAACTCCTTCTGTTTCCCATTTTTTTAAAATATGTGTTCCTAACAGGACACAGAACATTTCTTGAGTCACTGGAGGTCTTCTTCTGCAAGTTGGCCTATATGAAATAACTTGTTTATTTATCCACAGAAGGAGTAATATTTATATTGAAGAACCACTTGGCATCAGTGCCTACATGCAGATGTCCCATCATATATGCTAGTACCTCATTCAGAAAATCCACAATAGTGTACCATAAATAACATCTTGGCTTCACTCTGTGCTCCATTCACAACTGTTAATTTTACAGGGTTATGATTTCATCTCTGAGCAGAGGGCTCCTGGCAGGGACAGATGCTCTGGTGCCCCAGATTGTGCTGTGTGTGTCCCAGTAGGAGCCATCAAGAGCAGCAGGATGGCAGGAGGGAGGTGGTGCATCCAAAAGAGAAGCAGTTGCAGCATGGCCCTGGGAGGTAGAAGGAAAGAGGAGGACGAGCCTTGTCAAAGTGCTGTCACTTCCCTTTCCTTCTGTATAGAATCATATGCGTGACTAACTGAGGGAAAAGAAAAGGTTGCCTTGAATTTTATCAAGGATATTGTTGATCTTGATTTTAGACCCACATGTATCTTATTTTAAAAGACATCCTTGTGTGTTTGCCAGGATGATGATGGACCCAAGCAATGACAGGTCTGTATGTTTGTCCAAAGAATGTCAAACAGGACCATATCATGGTTAGCTAGATCTGGGTCACTGGGGTTGGGCTGTTATGACAGGGGGAAAAGCATACTGAATGTTGACTACTGTGGCTTACTTCCTAAACTAAAGGGCAAACTCAAACCCAAAGACAGATTAGTATCAAGCATAGAACATAGAACACAATAAACACTTTTATTAATTTTTTTTTTGAGAACAAGTTGCTGTATTGCTATAACTCACAGCACCTAGAACAGGACTCACAAATGTGAGCAAAAGCTTGATGCTCAAAATTTAGCCATTGTATTCACGACCTCTCTTCAACACAGGATATGCACATGACTGGGTCCCTCAACATTTCATCACCAGTGAGGAGGGCCTGTGAGATTACTCCTTCCTGAGGGTCTGTGAGCTGTTAACAGATGCTGGGAGAAGGTGTGGGTATTATTTTCTTCAGTGGTGTGGCCTCTGATAGGTTGCCTGTGCTCTTTCAAACAATTTCCCATCCATGTTCATGCAAGCAACTCTAAACTCAGTGGGTCACACACACAAAAAAATGGAGGATGTGAAATCAGGAGGGTGGCTTCTTGGGAAGAAGTGTTTTGGCAAGAGAAGAGGAGACAGATGATAGAGGTTAGTGGAGAGTGGGTGAAAACAAGTAAAATTCATTATAGAAATGAATGAAACTATATATACATATATATACATGTATGTATAAATATATATACATGTACATACATACATACATGCCAAAAGAAGAAATAGAGATTACTAATAGCCATCCAGGGCACCATGGCATCACTATGATGCAGAATTTTGTGTACTTGCCTATTCATTTCTTAACATGAATATAGATAGCTTTTGTTCCTACCTTTTGATTGAATTTCCAAATAGAAAAAGGTCATTTGTAGCACATGGAAGACTGTAAATGTTATTGCCAAAAGGTAAAATGATTTATATTCTAATTTCATCCCTGCATTACCAGGATGTTTTATTTATGATAATAAAAACTAATTTTAAGTTTAAATTACTTTGGGGCTATGATAGTGACTTAGTAAATTTGGACCATTTTTTTATACAATCAAAATAATTTTTCCCGCCTTTTAAAGCTCAATAATAATGGCTACTTTCTATATTCTAATTTTGAAGGCCTGGTATATTTATTGAGGGTGTTGGACCAAACATCAAGATAGCTAAACAGTTGCTCACCAACATCTTGATTCCTCACTTCCTAAATTCCTCGAAGCCCTGGAATTCATTTGTATTTTTCATAAGACCCTGATGTGATTTACTGTTGAAATATTTAGCATGCTTCTTTCCTTGAGTATATTAATTTTCTGCTCATGCTTGGAAGCTTAAGGGAGAGAGGCTGTTACATAATATTTCTTAAATGGTCAAATTTTAGAGTCCTCAGAAATCCTGAGGACCCAATATCTTTGAGAGTCCTGTTATGAAAATTTAAGACAAATGTGATTTGATTTGCCAAGTTACATCTAAAACAAGGCTTATTTCAATTGCTTTGTAGAATAACACTGACTTACTTGAGAAAGGAAGTACATACAGGCTAATATCAGTGATTGTTGTTTGTTTTGTTTGGTTACTTTTTGTTTCTTGAAGTAGGGGTATGGGTCTCACATTGTAGTCTAGATTAGCCTGGAATTCACTATGTAGTCCAGGCTGCCCTTGAATTTGCATAATCTTCTTACTTCAGCTTCCTGAGTTCTGGAAATACAGGGCTGCTCCAGCACACCCTTCTAATGCCTGATTCTTGGAGGTCAGAAGGATGGTAATATTTGGTTGGTAATCCAAGTCTGCAAATCCCTGAACAGGGAGGCTGAGAAGGAAGGAGCTCATGCTCCAAGTCAGACAGGATTACATGACAAAACCTTTCCTTTTTTTGTCCCTGTTTTGTCCCCAAAGGTTGAAAAGAATGATGAGGACCAAAAGATTGAACAAGATGGTGTCAAACCGGAAGATAAGGCTCATAAGGCTGCCACCAAAATTCAGGCTAGCTTCCGTGGACACATAACAAGGAAAAAGCTCAAAGGCGAGAAGAAGGGCGATGCACCAGCTGCTGAGGCCGAGGCAAACGAGAAGAAGGATGATGCTCCCATTGCTGATGGTGTGGAGAAGAAGGAGGGAGATGGCCCTGCTACTACCGATGCAGTCCCAGCCACCAGCCCCAAGGCTGAGGAGCCCAGCAAGGCAGGAGATGCGCCTTCTGAGGAGAAGAAAGGAGAGGGGGATGCAGCCCCCTCAGAGGAGAAGGCCGGCTCAGCTGAGACAGAAAGTGCCCCTAAAGCTACCACTGATAACTCGCTGTCCTCCAAGGCCGAAGATGGCCCTGCCAAGGAGGAGCCTAAACAAGCCGATGTGCCTGTCACTGATGCTGCTGCCACCTCCCCTGCTGCAGAGGACGCTGCCACCAAGGCAGCCCAGCCTCCAACGGAGACTGCAGAAAGCAGCCAAGCTGAGGAAGAGAAAGGTGAGTACTATGGCAAGGGTGGGGCCATGGGCAGGATGCAACAGGGATGTTAAACCCCGAGCCAGACCACCTGCATCGTCCAGGGGGAACTGTCTAGACAACTGTCTGGAAATCACAAAAGTTATGCTGAATTCCCCCAAATCTACATGCCCGAGAGAAAACTGAGAAAGAATTACATGGCAGCAAGTACTGGAGAGTCAGACAATTATCTTAATTGGATTGATATAAACAGTCAAGCTTGATAATCCCAGTTAAAAGAAAATGTGCTGTATGCTGATAGACTTAGTTTAATAAGTAATTACTGAGACTACATTTATTTCATGGGTGGGAATTAGCTAATATGATTATTTGGCTCTAGGAAGAGCCTCCTATAAATACAGCCAACTCTTTATTGATTATCTAGGGTATGAATTGCCAGCAACAAAAATATAATCTTAGTTTTCCTTTCCCTATCTCACAAAGTGTTTCTGGGCATTCCACCCACCACGAATTGGTGAGTAGTGTGTGTTTATATGTGTATGCTCTGGAGAATGTTAGCTATGACACTAATTGGGGTCAGACACAATTAGGAAAATAAGTCTATTGATGTTGCCAAAATCAAAGGAAAAAAATCCCCAATACATAAATTATCATTTTATTACCAAACACACTTCTTTCATATGCATAGCTAATTGAGAGTTGACTGTGACTAGGAAAAAGGTACTGGATTCTCTTCAGTTTGGAGCTATAACATGGAAGTTGGAGTGTTTTTATTATGATGGCCCAAAGAGCCTGCACAGAATTGGAAAAGAACATCCTGAACGTAAGATAAATCTAATAGACTTTTCCCTGGAAGCTGGTTCTGTCCCTCACTCCAACATATCCACAATGGTGATGTCTCCAAGGGTTTTCACTTTTTAATATTGCTTTCATCCCTGTGCTTATTATACAAGAAAAGCAATTTAAGGGGAAAAAGATTTATTTTGCCACATAGCTTCAGATGTTTTATTCTATGATGGGCTTGCTCTGTTGCGTTGGGCCTATAATAAAGCAGAATATTATGGCACCAAGAGTGTGTGGCAGAATAAAGTTGTACACTTTGTAGTAGCTAGGAAAAAGATGGGGGATATAGATAGATAGGTAGATAGATAATAGATAGATGGATAGATGAGGAATACTCTTCAAAGGCATATACATATTTTCTTAACTACACCCCTCCTTCCTTGACCTCATCAGCAGTTAAAGTCTATTCTGAGTCAATCAGTGGAATAAACTATTGATTAGACAAAGACTTCTGAGTCTGACCATCCCTGTAATCCCTCTCATGGACACACTCTGAGGTGTGTTTTACTGATCTCCTAGGTGACTCTCATCAAATTGACAATCAAGATTAACAATTGTACCTTTCAACTCCAAAGGTCTTTAAAGATAAAGTTACTTCTGGGCCAGTTTAAATGGCTTGGCTTGCCCTTTTAGAACTGTGTAGATTTATCCCATAGACTAGGCTCTAAGTTTGGGCCAGACCACTGTCTTGGGAAAGTTCATGAGACTAGATTATGAGACAAATCCAGGAATGTTAAAATATCTGGCATTTAGATTGAGAAAACAATCATTGAACATTTTCCTAGATACTAAGACGTTGCAGATAATTATTCTGTACTATCTCAGGTCTATTTCTTTCATCTTAGCCCCCATATTCTGTAAACCTCTAGAATACAATAATTACCACAGCCCTCAGCATACTCTCCCATTCCAACTCCAAATAAATCTTGATTATTTATACCAGTTACTTATTTCCTCAATAATAACAAGGAATGTGGCTAGAGCATTGGTTTCAGTTTATTCAACAAAACTGTTTTGTTTCCTTTTCTTTCAGCTGAGAATTTAGGCCTCAGTCTGGGAATCACTTTGCAGATATCTAGAGTGTCATTCTGTCACTCTTGGAAGCCAATCATGCTTTTAAATGTATGACATGTTTGACATTCCCTAGATCATAATTTTTTTTAAACTGAGATTTTTAAAGTTTGGGGAGTAGACACAAAGACACAATGTAATTACACACACACACATCATTTGGTTTGGTTTGGTGGAAAGAATTTGGTGAGCCAGTAAAAAATCTAATATATTTTATAAGTATAGGCAAGAAACTCCATTTCATTATTTTTAAGCTTAGATCATTCTAAAAATTGACTATAATATTTTAGTATTCCATAAATGTTAAATATTAGAAGACTAGAAATTAACCAGATTTAATTTATATGTAATAATTTTACTTGCCTATATATTCCTCTTATAACTGTGAATGCTAATCATTTATTTAATTTAAAATGTGTCTAGTCACTGAATATAGATAGATGGCATACTTGGTCTTAAGCTCTTTGAGTTCAAGATGAAAACTGAGTGAAGGAGACTGTATAATGTGCAGTAAAAGGTAATTGGGTATGTAGGTAAAATTCAACATGAGGGTAATCCAGAAAGCAACAGATGATGTATTTGGATCCTTCAGGTCATATTTTAAACTGAGATTTCTGAAGTTTGGAGAATAGACATAAAACCATGGTATGACTTTAAGTCTATTGCACCTTAGCTTTGGATTGATTCTTTTATCTCAGTTAGATTCCGGAATTCATCTTGTAGCTTTTCTGGACTGAATTTTATCAACCTGACTTAGTGTGACAAGCACAAATTATTCAGTCATGGTAAATTTTATGGAATCACAGAAACTGAAGGTGACAATGAGAGCTATCATATGATACCAGTCCCAAATTCCCAGAGGCTCTGCCTCATGTTTCCTGTGCCCTCACCGAGTTTCATTCTAACCCCAGTTAAAATAACAGAGTGTTTTCAATCTGACTGCACTACTTGGAAATGGACAACTACCAGAGGTGGTTTAAGATTCCATGGCTGCCAAAAGGGGCATAAAGAGATAAGCTAGCCATGTAGAGTAGAGGCAGGGGTCAAATAAATCCTAGGAGACAATCTAAGAAAATAAGATTAAGAACTTTCAAATCAACTCTGACCATGCCTTTAATACATATGGAAATTATTTGTAAACTATGACTATACATATTTGCCCATGCCTTTTGCTATTTAAGGCTTTGTTATTGGTAAGTACCACTTGCAGTGATATTAATTTCTTTTGTTTTTCTTAGCTCCCCACTATATATCCCTCCTTCTGTTTGCACACACTCAATAATACTCAGTATACCTTTGACCACTTTGTAGGAAGACGAATTCTTTATAGGAAATAGGATGTTGGAATACCTGTAGGATACTTCCTTCTTCATCGATGAGGGGGAACCTTAAAGTCTTCTTCAATCATATTGTCCTTGGAGTTCTGTTTTTGAGTAAACAGTGTACACATTGGCTTTCAATGATGGAGTCCTCTGCTTCTGTCCTTCACCTTCACTGCTGCCAATGGATTTTTCTCAAAGAGGACTCCAACAATTCTGCTGATACAGTATTAGCAATGTTACCCATGTAAGGGGCTATTAGCCAATGATATTGACTGGGTGGTTGACACAAAGCATGTGACAGATGCAATAGGAAATATAATTTTGGGTCACCTTAGTATTCTGGATGTTGATTTGGTTAAATTTCACTTATTTATTTTCATTTAAAAAATTTTCCACTTTTTGTTAAGTGAGTGTTGGGCATTACCCCATGCACATGGAAGTCAAAGGATGACTTGAGGAAGCCAGTTCTCTCCTTCCACTATGTGGGGCCTAGGGATCAAATTCAGGTCAGCAGGCTTGGGGGCAGGTGACTTTATCCTCTGAGCAATCTCACTTTATTGTAATCTCATTACATCTTTCAAAGTGTGGTTATCAGCACTGGTCAGGGAAACAGGGAAGTTTACATTTGCAATTCTCTGCTGAAGAGAAAAAATTAACTTACTGTCTTTGGCCTTTCCTTCTCGATTATCTTTCCTTTCTCTTTTCCCCTCTTATTCTCATTCTTACCGCCTTTATTTCCTTCCATTTAGAATAGCTTCTGCTGTGTAAGAATCCATGTCACAAAGATTCATAATATGTGCTTCTTTAATACCAGGCTGTTTTTATTGGTTATGGATAGTGTGATGAAATCCAGTGAGTGGCATTTAAAATAATCTCAACTGAATCATGAATAGGTATGGAAAACTTCTATTTGCAATGACTTTAGGACAAAAGCAAACAAACAAAAAATAGTACTTCAGTGACCCAGATGCAATTTAAGCTATGCTTCTAAAAAGCTTTATATCATACATATACCAGTAGCTATATTATGAGAAAGCATAACAGATGAATTTGATAATTTCTAAGGTAATTATGTATAAGAAAATGAAACACCCAGCCCATATTTTTAGATTTAGAAAAGTCTGTATGTTTCTGGGAGCCATATTTTTTTTTTCTTTCTTTAGTCCCATCTTACTCTTTAGCTCTCTAAAGGGCAAACCAGTTTCACCAGGCTGTGTGTTAGGAGTGGGATTTCCCCTGGGTATTCATGCTTCTTTGGCAGAGTGCCTCAGAAGAGGTTTAGATTTGAATGTGGTTTCAACCACTTCCCAGATTTATATACAACTCATAAAGACTGAAATTTTGAATTGTGAAAGTTCATAAATGTTGTTTATAAAACATGGGCACCCTGTCAGCTTACTCAGTGGTACACAGCTTAAATACTGTTGATTATTAAGCTTTTATGGAACACTTTTATATTGCTAGAGCAATCATTTTTATTGACTTTCCTTGACAACATTCCACTTGCAATTGTTAGTATTTTCTTCTCTATTTTTTTACAGTACGAAGGCAAAGTAAAAATGTATTAAGCCCACAGAGTCACTGACAAAGGAGGGACAAACTAATATATTTCTCAATCTATCTTTGCCTAGCCATGTACTTTTTAAAGTTAAAATGTTAATCTCTTTTAAAAAATTAATAATTGTGTTAATCTCTATTTGTTCTCCAGAACATTTCTGGGGCATTCTCTGTTCTATATGCCTGTAAGGTAGGCAGGGGAAAGTATGCTGAAACAAAGTGATGGAA